ATTACAAAGCCTGTTTTCCTGTGATAACGGTTTTAGTGGGTAGAGCGGTTGTCTCCCAACCGGAGGGTTGGAGGTTTGAATCACAGTGCCTGCAGTCCACATGTCGAAGTGTTCTTGGGCAAGACACTGAACCCCAGGTTGCCCCCGATGGTTAGAGCCATCAGTGTGAGTTGGCGCCGCAGATGGCTGCCTCAGTTCTGTACCCGAAACAAATTCCTTGTGTGTAACATACTTGGCCAAATAAAGGTGATTATGCTGATTAGCCTTATCCTTATTTACATCATATATATTTATACAAAGAGGACTGGTGTGCTCAATTGCCATTGGTGGAACAAGGAAAGCTGTGTTGCATGCTAATCATACTGTCAAGTGTCTGTTAACAGCAAAATTATAACCTCCACTCCAAAATAGGTGTCAGTCAGGGATCAGACTCTGGGTGGATTTCCTTGACTTCTTCCTGTTTTAATAACTGTTCAGTTTTTGCATCAAATGTTGATTCAATTGTATGCTCACTTTTGGAGGCTGAGAGTTTGTGCTGCCAATGAACTGCATTATACAACTTTCAACAGCTAATACTGTAGCAGCAACTTCTAAGCTGAACTAAATGGCTATTAGCTATAATTCACCTGGAGCCCTGGAATATATGACGCTCAAATGACTGAGTATAAACTTAAACGGAATTGTGATACATTTCCATCATTCATTCATGCTTTTATGTTATTGTTGTACTTCCTTTTTCTCCCCTCATGTTGTCCTCTATTTATTTTGAGGTTATGCCCCAACCTCCCTTTGCTTTGTTTTTGCACTGTTGCAGCCTGCCACGCCTCCACACACCCGCACCTGCTGATCAGTCTGTCCTGCATATATACCTCTAGTTCTCCTCTGTCTTGTCCAGATTGGCTCACACTCATTCACTCACTGGTTCACACTATGGCCCATACTCATTCATGTTTTGCATGAATATTCTTGTATATTCTTGCTAAGGATAAAGCTTTTTTTAAAATGTGGTCTTTGTAAAGATGTGCTTTTGACTGAAATTTTTTTTTAACTTATGTTTTTGTGGAACTACATTAAGGAAAGATGTTCCAAACCCGATTGTTTGATATCAGAGAATTTTGAGGTCAGTTTGTTTTTTCTACAGTGAAGTAAACCAGAAGAAACTCAGTTCAAAGTTCCTGTTTGGTCTTTACACTTGTGATGACTGTGTGTAAACTGTGTAAACATCAGTCATCTGGAAGCTGAAGTCAGACAAAGTCTCATCCAGAGTTCTCTTCTGTCACCATTGCTCAGGCTAAACATCTTGCAGTGCTGGGCTCCTCTGGTTACAATATTTGGGACAGGACCAGCGCAGTACACTCCCTAGACTGCTTAGCTCCGGTAACAAATAATGACACTGCTATTTCTTGGTTCTGTTCTGTTAACACCAGAGTTCCAGAGGCTGCCCCTAATCGGCCTGAAGATCCCTGGGTCCTCCTGGCAGCTGAACCCAGTTTATTATCTAGAACCAAGTATTATCTAGTTTAGTCACTTCTGACAAGCTCCTATTTCTACTGTACTAACTTGTATTAATGTATATTCACAGAAAATAGTAATAGAAAGTGCATTTGAAAGAGGTGTAGTGAGAGGAGAGATGGAGAGTGCTGCTTTGTTTCAAATATGCCATACTAGTGGTGGGTCCTACATTGACATAAACTCTTTAACACAGCCACGTGGTTGCATGTGTAAGGGCCCACAGATGTGTTCTCAGCTCTTGGCTCTGCACAGAGGATATCCTGATGACTGCTGGGTGAGCTGCCAAATCTTCACAGAAACCCAAAAGTACTAGTCAGGGAATATATTTGCCTGTATGTGGGAACAAACTAAAAGGTCTATTTAAAAGCAATCCTTTAACTACCCTGGTTGAACATTAATAGTGTTTATTATTGCACCCACAAACAAAACAACAGGCAGTAGGGTTTGATTACATTCTCAATAAATTCTTTGAGACTGTCCTGTAAAAACTAAGTCCATATATCGTTTTTGCCAGCAGCTTATTATGACCAACAGTAACACGTTACTGCTACCTCTGGTGACTGTAGTAATTGTGACACAAGCAAAGCAGGAAGTTAATGCTTAAACATGATGAAGCCATGACACTTCCATAATTATAACCGTCTGGTAATGGTGGTGTGAAGCGTTTGATTACAGTAAGTGTACTGCCGGAACAGTCTATAGGTCATCTTCTAAGGCAGGGACAAACAATGTATATTGTCATTTAGGTTAGATGAGTTTACAAAGCTACCACTGTTTTGTGAACTAAATATGTCATTTTTGGATTTTACATGCCATGGTTTGAGGTGCCAGTTACTCCAACTCTCAGCAAAAATAATGATCAGACAGCAGTTGTTAAAGAATAATTTGGGTTTATTTCGATGTGGGGTATTTCCCATTGTTGTTGTAACTCTGTGGGTCTTCACAGTGAAGGTGCTGACTGCAAATTACTAATTAACAATAATCACATTGTATCTAATTGGTTTATTGTGTACATAAATTAAATTATTTTTTTAAAGGCATTGGTTAATGGAGAATTACATGCTTTAACTAGCAGCCTATAGCTGTTTCACCTTGTTTACAGTATTTATGCTATGCTAAACTAACCATGCCCATAAATGCATCATGGCAAAACCCAGGTTTCCTACAAATATAGCTGTTTGTTAGACTTTTTTCTATTGCTGACTTTTACCACACAGTGAGCGAGTACATAGCTAGTTTGCATCTGATTTACAGAAATAGTGATTTGAGTTCATACACATTTTCAAATTCAATGGTGTAACAATATTAATTAAGTACGTGGCTCAACAGGAGGTACATATGCATACAGTATAAAATACACA